CAGGAGGCGGCGCCCGCGGGCGGCCGGCCCCGGCATGGAGAAGCGGGCCTCTACGGGGCCGGAGGGGGCCCCGGGCGCCCGGGCGCAGCTGGCCGTCGTCTGTCTGGGTGAGTGGGCCTCTCAGGCCTGGCGATCCCCGCGCTGCGTCCTGCCTAGACCTGGCCTGATCCACGCGTCCTTCGTGGGGCCGGGGTTTCTCCAGCGCCGCCTGGGCGATGGCTCCTGCACAGAGACCACAGAGGGGCGAAGACCCCAGCGGGGCCGGGCCCTTCTCCTCTCCAGCGCCCCCCAGCCCCCTGGGCCTGCTGGAGTCTTGGGCCTGGTGGAACGACCCTGGGAGTCTCGCTGTGCAGGCCCAACCCTGGCCGTGGAGCCCTGACCCCGCCCGGATGGGAACAGCGCCCTGGTTCCCAGGACGGTGGCGGTGGCTTTCAGCAGGCTTGCTGCGCTTAGCTTGGCGACAGTCTGGGCCTCTCTCCAGAGCTGCGGACAAAGGCGAGGCCTCCGGGCCTGAGATCAGCTGCTCCTTAGCCAGTTTCTTCTGTTGGTTGGATTGGGAGGGGTACAGTAGCTGGTCTGGAGAAGGGGACTCCGGGTGCCACGCAGGAGGAGGATGACCCCTCTTTCCTTTGTGCTTTTTCAGACCCAGCCAGGCAGGTCCGGCCAGCCCAGGGTGGTGTGTTTGTGGGGCACTGGGGGTCCTGTCCAGGCTTGGCATCCTGGCCAGGGGCTTCTCTGTCCACCTTTCCAGGACCCTGTGTGTTTAGGACCCTGTATGTGCAGGACCCTGTGTGTGCAGGACCCTGTGTGTGCACCTTGGGGCTTTAAACCTCAACCCACATGGCTTTATTTACCTCTAGAAAGAAGGAGGCCATCACCTGAGCTGAGGATTAACAGGGCACATGGTTAACCCTGTGGTCACACTGGTGAGGAGTCTGTAACTCAGGCCGTGTTTCTAAACTTGCTAGAATGATACATTGACCAAAACCCCCATCCATTTAAGTGGCCCTTGTCCTTCCCTCCACCTAGAACTGAAGATTTCCGAGTTCGTGGAAAGTTCCTGTCCTGTCCCAGCAGGGTCGATGGGTCTGAATAATGGATGTGCCCCTGGAAACATCCACTTCGACCCTGGTAATGGTAATATGCCCTGGATTGTGAGCTGCTGGCCTTCCCTGGTGAACAGGGCACAGGCCCTCAACTTTCCTGAGGCCTAGTCTGTAGAGAGGATGCACCTGGCGGAGCCCAGGGGTCTGAGAAGGGGCAGCTGCAGATGGGAGCTGGCCCCTCTGAGATGCTCCATGTTCCCCCTGGCATCCTTGGTGGTGGGGGTCCTCTTGAGTTCTGGAGAGCTAGCTTTTCTGCTCCCTGCCTGCCCGTGTCCTTACCCTGAGAAAATAGCCTGCACAAAAACACTGGTGAAAGCAAAAATGAAAAGCTGTGGAGGTTGGAATTGAGGCAAGCTCCTTGCCCCATAACCAAGGTCAGAGACACGCAGTAAGGAGAGCTCTGAGCTGGACCCAGGGCAGTGCTACCTGGCTAACTCTGCCAGAGCCTCTGGGGACATTAGATTCCTTCCCAGTAAAATAAGGATGATAAAGACTGCTTCTCTCCCTGGCTGCTGGGTGGACGAGGAGGTGGGAGAGCCTTTTAGAAAGAAGCCCTTCTCTTGCTGGGAGGGAGCTCTTCTGCCAGACCAGCTCTCCCTGACCCAGGCTGAGCCAGGCCCCTCTCACTGATTCAGGGTGAGCCTCCTGTACCCAGCAGGAGGCAGCTACACAGCCCATTCCCAGTACCCAGTCTGAATTCCAAGGCCTGGGAGCAGCAGGAATGGTCCAGTACAGCCTGCTCTTGGCTGTGGGTGTGTCCAGGTGGGTCCTTAGACTCTGCAGCGACCTCACTGCCATCTCCCAGCAGGACCAGGCTGGGAGTGGAACTTGCGGCTCTTGGGGACTTGCCTTGAGGTGAAGGGAAGTCAGTGTGAGGCCAGTTGTGGTGTCCTGACCCTCACAGGGCCGCTGCTGACCCCAAGGAGGTGCCTAGGGCCTGAGAGCCACCCCTCAACCAACCTTCTTTGTGTCTCCTACAGTGAACTTCTTTCTCACTGGAAGGCTCAGTAGTGCAGTTCCCGCCATAGGTAAGTCAGACTCTTCTTCGGCTCCTCATCTGGGCTAGTGACTTCTGAGGACAGGCCTTCAGGGCCTCAACTGCACCCCGGAGGTCATCTAACCGTCTCCAAACTCGGTGTTACTGCTAAAACCAGTCCTTGGTGCATTTTTCCTGCAATAAAGGAGCTTGTTTGATCTTGGGCAAGCTTAAACTTCTCTCTGAGACTCAGTTTCCTCTTCTGTACAACGAATTTATCTTAGTGCCTGGCCATTAGCTTAAATGATCAAATAAAGCAAGATACTCAGAATGGGACAGAGATGCTTAATATTGCAGACAAAAACTGCAAATGACCCTCTACCCCAGTGATGTCTCTCTCAGGTGTCTGCCCTTCAGGCATGTTGGGTGGATCCGTTCATCAGTTGATGATCTCTGGATCCTGGCCTACAGCTAGGCACAGCAAAGGCTGGTGGGAGAAAGGGCAGCAGATGAGTCCATTTGTGACATAGGTTCTATTGAATGGGCTGCTAGGGCCCCAAACCCATATGATTCCAGGGCCCCATGATGTTTGGTGTCAGCAGGAGCCACCTGGCAGGAGCTCCAGGAAGCTGGGAAGATTGTGAACACCCCACACCCTCCCCCCCAGATCTGGAGGTCCTCTCTGACCTGCCCGTGGGGCTTTGTTGCAGCAGCTTGTTGTTGGGTGTCGCTGAGTTGGAACCTACTCATAGATGACGGTCCAGCAGATTTTCAGACAGTAAATCACATGAGAGAAGATTGCTCATCTTTCTCCCATGGAGCAGCTGGATTTGAACCCTGTGTCTTAGGGATAGCAGTATAGCTCCTTACCACTAGGTCACCAGAGCACCTTTGGTGCAGCAGGCGGCCATTGGAATTTCTAATTCCACAAATAAGTCTGCCTTGGAGAGAGTGAAATCAAGTTTCTCCTTGGAGGCTAGGATATTGAAGCTTTGTCTCACATACTTTGGGCACGTGGCCAGGAGAGACCGATCCTTGGAGATGGACCTCATGCTCGGAAGGGTGGAGGAGCAGCTCAGGAAAGGAAAACCTTGGATGAGATGGAGTGACTAAGTAACTGGGGCAATGGGTATAGGTGCGTCAGAGTCAGTGAAACTGGCAGGGTTCAGGTAGTACATAGGGTCGCTATGAGTTGCAGGTGGCTTGACGGCACATAACAACAACAACAACTAAGAACTCAGTTTGGGGTAGCCGGTGAGGCTGACTCAGCTGTTAGGACCAGGAACTCTCCGCGAGGACCTCTGCTGGCTACCTTGTTGGTAATAGGAGGCCAAGGGAGACAGCCCATCACTCGAATTCCAGCTCTGACTCACCTGGCCCTCTCTGCACTTCAGCTTTATTCTCTGCTTGGGACATCACCTTGGCCACTCTTGCTGGACACCTTGACCTCATAGCCAGCTACTCAGCCTGCCCATCCCCCTTTCCAGGAGAACACTGGCTTGGCCCAGGCTGGGTGTCTATGCCCATAGTAGAGAGGCAGACTGGGGGTGTCACATTCTGCTCGTACGAGCTCCAGGCCAGCTCCATAACAGATGTGGGGAGTAGGAATGTCTCCATAAACATATGTGCCACATGCATGTGCCTCTGGTTTAGAAGAGGAGTCCTCCAGGAACAAGGGCCACTCATAGAGCCAAGAGAAGACAGTTGCAGATCTAAGCATACGTATTTGTTAGACATTGAGACCTTGGGACTAAGCTGGGTCTGTGCTACTCAACTCCAGGGGCAGCTGCTCATGTCTTGTACCCTGTGTTGTTGGCTGTGCACACGTGCTGCGCAGCCTGGCTTGGGGTCTGGGGCTCTGGCCATCCTGGGGTCTACCTCTGGTTCTGCAATCTTGCTCAAAAGAGAGAGCAGCTTCTGGGGGTACCTCTCTGAAGGCGGCATCGTTCTGTGTTTCAGGGGTGTTGTTTCCTCTGATCCTGACTGTATAGGAACCTGGATCAGGACCTGTGCTCAGACACTCCTGAAGGCCCTGGTGGGTACCCGGGCACTGCCCCAGGTGTGCCAGGCCCTGACTGGGCCAGGTGGCTCTGCCACATGGCCATATGAAGGAGGGCCTGGGTTGGGTCTACAGACTGCTCCCCACTCACCTGGCCAGTTCTCAGAACACTGGGGTAGGATTCCCAGCTCTGTATTATTGATTTCATTGGACGAGTTGTCCAGGGTATTGATCACATCTGGAAACTGGATCTGCCACAGTGGTTCATCAAGCCTTGCTCGTGTCCTCTCAGAAGTGCTTGATGACTCTGTAGACCAAGCAATAAGGACACTGGCCTAACAGTTTCCAGTCACTTGCCCCACAGTTTCCAGTCACTTGCCCCCTGACTAGAGCCTTGCCCCCTGTTTTACCCAGTGAAAACTCAGACCAACCTTTCTGAATGCTTCCAACACCCAAATCTAAAAAAACTAGGTGGCATCAGAGTCCCCAGCTTGGCTTCCCTACCCACACTGTCCCCAGACCTCACTGTCCATCACTAGTGCTGCACCCTGACGTCCCTCCCCCAACATGGCACATTCCTGGGGGCTTCCCTGCCCACTCTTATTGCCTTCTCACCCATCACAGCATCTTCGTGGACATGGCCACCTCCTTCAAAATTTCTCAACCAATCATTAATGTCCATTTGCTCCATTTTATTAACAGTCAAACTGAAACCTAGAGTTGAACAGTGTGTCAGGCAGTACAGTTCCTTAGAAGTCAGGAGGCTCTCCCTCCCCCCCCACCCCGTGCCTGAGTCCTGGGGTGTGTACTGGGGCACAAACCCTGGGGTGCACACTAGGGAGCAAGTCCTGGGGTACACACTGGGGAGCGGGTCCTGGGGTGCGCACTGGGGAGCAGCTCCTGGGGTGTGCACTGGGGAGCAAGTCATGGGGTGCGCACTGGGGAGCAGGTCCTGGGGTGTACACTGGAGAAAAGGCCCTGGGGTGTGCACTGGGGAGTGGGTCCTGGAATGTGCACTAGGGAACAGGCCCTGGGGTGTGCACTGGGGAACAGGCCCTGGGGTGTGCACTTGGGAGCAGGCCATGGGGTGTGCACTGGAGAACAGGTCCTGGGGTGTGCACTGGGGAGCAGGTCCTGGGGTGTGCACTGGGGAGCAGGTCCTGGGGTGTGCACTGGGGAGCAGCTCCTGGGGTGCGCACTGGAGAACAGGTCCTGGGGTGCGCACTGGAGAACAGGTCCTGGGGTGCGCACTGGGGAGCGGGTCCTGGGGTGCGCACTGGGGAGCGGGTCCTGGGGTGCGCACTGGGGAGCGGGTCCTGGGGTGCGCAC